TTCAGGGTTTAGGGTTTAGGGCTTAGGGGTTAGGGTGCTGTTAAGTTCCATGTTGGGGGTTCTTGTTTTTATGTGTGAAAGTTAGAGGTTTCAATAATCGCAAATCTAAGTGGGAAGAGCGCAACAAATCCATGGACAAGTAGGTACATTAAACGGATTATCTCACCATGGAGTAGACGATCATTGGGCTTATCATTGGGTCCTATTCAGGATTTCGGAACCAAGGGTTGTCTTGAGGAACACCCAAGTAAGTTTGCATAATATGGGAACAGGAACTGGGCTTATATAGGGGCGATATGTGGATCTAGGGTACTTAACTTACTTAAGCTGTCATAATATGAATGTACAGCAAAACGCCGGGTTTGCTTTGCTTCAGTAACTTGTAATGTAAGTTCCCTAGCAGCACAGGGTGCATACCAGGTTTGTGGATGAGTAATGCAATATGCTGCATGTACAGAAAAAGTTCTGTGGTGGGGATTGCTTAGAGCCATCGGTTCTTCAATGATTGAGGCCTGATGCTGAGCCTCCCTGTTTCTAATGCTTTGAGGAGCACTTGGTGAGGTCGGGCAGGGCAAGCCGATCTAGTTGACAACAGGTGGTGCTTTCTAATCTGGAAGGGGGTTGCGTTGACATGGCTTATGTAGCTTCAAGTGCTATGCAGGTGGCACATGTAGGGCTTGGACGCAACAAGACGAGGGCAGGCTTTCAGCTGGAAGGTGCGATGGACCGAGGTTGCATAATTAGTAGTTTCCCAAAATTTTGCCTCTGAATTGCACAGCGGCTTTTTTTGATTCCTGCTTAGGAAGCCCCAGCACGAAAGCCACTGCGCGGCCTGTACTTGTAGTAGTAGCTCATGTCGCAGCCTGAACCTTTCAACTGCCATCACCAGGTCAATGGTGGCTGCACGCCTGACGCGCATGAGCAAGTTTAGCCGGTGAGTGTTCAGCCAGAGCTTGTAGCGTAGTTAGGCTTCAGCGGGTTCAGGGTGGAGGCCCAACAAATAGCTAGTGTAGGTTTCTCCTCATGCTTGGGAGCATTCCTTCTTATGGTAGCACATGTGAGCCTTTGATACACTTAGCCTTGGTAGGGCTTGGGGTTGTACACTGGACGTACCATGAAAGCAGGAAGAGGTTAGGACATCATGAGTCATATGATATTGAAAGAATTGCGCCCATCTTACTGTTTCCGAATTGGACTGATTATTGCCCCATTTTACCTCAAGCCGTTTCGTTTAAACGAGTCCCCTTCAAAAGATCCCCACGCAGCGGTGCCCAAGTCTTGGGAGTTTGAGAAGAACGGTCCAAAATTTCATCAACAGACATCAACAGTAGTGTAGATTTTTTTGGAAACACGCCGAGGGAGGCTAGGCATGTGCTGTGAGTCCAAAACCAGGAGCGCAAGGCAAGTTTTGCACGTGCATGGCTTTCCATTCCCTGGCCAAGTCCAATTCAGGGTCAGCATTTGGAATTGGAACCCGGCAACTTGGAATGGAAGTACAAATTCGTCAGCAGCCCGGAGCTTGTTCACCAAGTGGACGATTCAAGAGGGCTTGGGACACTGACAGGGTACAAACCAGCAGTTTCGTCTCGCAAGTTTTGGCAATAGCCCACTGTCTGCACAGAACCTCAAGGCTCCAACTTCAGCAGCTCTGCGGAAGTTTGGACATGGGCTTTTATGATTTAATTGCTACTCAGAGGTGTGGTTCAGTTCCGCAGGGCGGCCGATCCTGGCGCATGCAGGCAGTTAACTGGGGCACTCCTCTCGACTTGGCAGCGCCATAAGGTCTGGCATTTTTCCTTGGCATGTTCCGCGGCCCATGCAGTCCACAGAATGGGAAGAAGAGTTGCTTTCGGGAGCCCTCGCACGGACGAGCCGTCCAATCCAGTGTAACGGGCTACACATCATACCGCAATCCCACAAGTGAAGTATCACGGCATGCGCGTGCCGCCCAATCTTGCAGGGCCTTGGGTTATGCGAATATGCGGCTTGTCTTGTGTACCTCCTGAATTCCTGGCCGAAGCCCCCGAAACCCATTGCTCAGGTAGCAGTAGCAAAATGTACTGTAACAAAAGGATATCTCGAGGACGAGGTTCAACAACACGTGGGCTTCCTTGGACATGTCCGAGGCGTTGCGCAGGGCCTGCTGTGACAGATCTGGAATCCCTTCATCCTTAGAAGGGCACGTATCTTGTTCAGCGCAGTCGTCTCATTGCGCCATGTGGTGCAGTGCCGTCTGGTTTAGATGATAGTTTTCCCCTAATGGGGCGTCTCTAGTATAGATTCCCGAATAGCATAGCCCGTACAGTATGGGACCCCAACAAAGTACCCCTAATTTTTGTTAACCCTCAGATGCATTTTGAACCGGAAAACGTTTTGCCGCTGGGCCGATCTCAACCCCAGTCAACTCCATGAGCTTAAATATATACCCCTAGAATACTATAGTAGCTTCCATGTTCTTTTCCATTATCCGTATATAACCCCAATATAACCCTAGTATAATCCCAATACAATCCCAATATAAACCCACATCCTTAACCCCCCTAAACTTCCCGCTCAGAGCAATCTGTCCCAGTGGCATTGTGTACAGGATGCTAACACGTTGAGAAGGGCTGGGGAAAACGTGTGCTTGAAGGTGTGTTCTATTCAGGTAGGTCAGATGAGGCTTTTGCACTGATCCGGTTGACAGATTGAGGCCCATGCGAAATCCCAAGCAGCAATGCATCTTGAAGTGACGAGGTTACGTTTGGCGAAAGCCCGCACAGGATCCAGTCAAACGCAGGGCTGCCCTAAACTATGGTCTATTTCTGGACTTCGATGTGTTTCATGGCAGGTCGTGGAAGCTTGCAGGCGCTCTCTTGGGCTTGTCACCTGAGCCGTCAAAGCCGAAAATCACGCCTCACCTCATGCAATGCTAAGATTGCAAGACTTTGCCACTGCACTGACCGCCAAACAACACTCGCATCATCTCGCATGTGAACCCAAGAGCCGGCTGTTAATATTAATTGCCTAGTCGCACTCTGCCTTTCTCCCCCCAAAACCCGTTGCTTCGAGCAGCAGCACCCCCGCCACTGCCACCGCCCCCCGCCAACTGCCACCAGGTGGTGGTGCTGGTGCTGGTGCTGGTGCTGGTGCTGGTGCTGGTGCTGCTGCTGCTGCTGCTGCTATGGAGTGCCTACTACATTGCCACCACAATGACAAAACTCTGTGACACTGTGCCACAGGAGCTTGAGCCAAACCTGCATCCCATCCTTCACGGTGCCTGGCCTGTTACATGGCCTGTGGCTTTTGGAAGGGACGAGGAGATGTGCTCTAAATGGATACTTTGAGGTTTTTCTTTTATTTTGGGTTCTGCGAAGTTACGTCACAAAAAATCCAGTGTCTTCATTTTACGGATGCCTTCTTGGTGTGGGTCTGTACAAGCGCAGTTGTAAGGCACCCTCTGCTTTATGGGGGAAGTAGGCATCCCAGCTGTACCGATATTTCTGGTTTACGGTTGCAGTCCGATTCTTGGATGAAGTTCCGATGTTCCAGGATCCCACGCCATTCTAGTCACCAGCCACTACCCAAGGGCTCCCTGACAGGATGCAAAAGGAAGAGCCATCCTGGACTCAAAATCAACCCAAGACCCAGGGCCCTCGCCGCTAAATTAACATCCAAAGTTTGGCATCCCCCAATGTATCCCCCCAGAATGCTTAGCGTGGAGAGGCCCCATGCCCTGCATTACACCCTGAGCCGTAACCACCGCTTCAGAATCTCCATCCCGTAGCCGGACCTTTTGGTTCGAGTTTGACAGTCCCTTGCCTACAGGGGGCTTTGGGAGGCAGGGGAAAGCTGATTTGCAATCGGAAGTTTGGTTCATCGGCATTGGGGCCATCATGTCTGCAACACTCTTCACAGATCTACAGGAAGGCATGTCATGAGGGTATGTGAGAGTAGTTGTTACACCACTTGCAGTTATTTTGGAACCTCTAGTCTACGCGGGGACATCTTGATTGACGAAAGACCAGCTAACCTGTGGAAGGGTCGGATTCTGAGATATTCTGAGAAGACTGGAGGCCTTGTGCGGCCCCACAGACGGAGAGTGTTTCAACGTTTCGGGGCCTATGACAAGGGAGCCTTATCTGGGTGGTTCTCAAAATTATGGTCCTTTTTTGGGTACCCTAAATATTAGGTGCCGTATTATAATAGGGACCCAATAAGGGGCCGTAATTTCGACAACCGCCCATCAATCGAGAACTACACCTCTGGTACCTGTCCATAATATCCAAAAAAAGATAGCTGGAAGCGACCTTAGGCTTTCTAGTGCTCTGGTCCTAAACGGGGGTTTTCCCAAGATTAGGGATACCTGTATGGGGCTCCTAGTAAGAAGGGTTATCGTATATGGGCGTCTATATGGGGATCCCTTTATTTTGGGAAGCTACCAAACCCTAAACCCTAAACCCCCCAAAGGCAGGTTTAGGGTGTAGTATACTTGATAAGGGACAGCCAAATGCGCAAGAACATGAAAATCAAATGGGAGTTGTGGGTTCAAAGGGATATATAGCGTTTACGGCTCCGGATTTTACCACATTCCTTCAAAAGGAAGAGCATCCATAAGCTTGTTGGGCTCAGAAGGGAATACGGGAGGGAATGTGTCATGTGGCGATTATATTTTGCTTATATTCCCTCGTCATTCCCAAATTACTAGCTACCAGTAAGTAAGTTTAAGGATTTTTCTGCGGCTTCCAGGTGTTGGACCATCGAGCACGCAACAGAGTGTACTCTCCTTGTGGCTGTATTGGCCATGCAAGACTTGACAAGAAAAATCACCCTCACTTCAAGCAACAACCAACACACGCTACCACCGCTGCCCCGTCAGGTCTTGCTGGACCTTCCATAGGCACAACAGGGCTGCGAAAGTACAACGCTCCTCGGCCAGGGTTTCAGACAAGTACACCTCCAAAAGCGCAACTGTCTGTAGACAAACAGAGTATGGCACTGATTTCCAGATCTCGTTAAGGATGTCCATATCTTGCGCAATCCACTTCGTGCCGGTCGCCATCGCTGTGATGGTCTCTTGGTCAGACAGTCTGGTTCCGGGGCCCTATGTGTCAGGATGAGCGTCTCCCCGGGCACTTCATTGGTGCTCTCAGGAAAATCAGTACAAGGTGAAGGCATTATTCAGGTTGCAATCAAGGAGTTGACCCAAGCCTTCTTGGATTCTACATGGGAGGGTTGACCTTTGCAAGTGCGCCTACAGTGTTGGATTTGTGCGTTGTTGATGCGAAGAGCGCTTTCAGATCTCCAAGTCCTTATCTCGGAAAACGTGGCTAGAGTATGAGGGTACTTGAGGGCGCCGCGCAGCCCCCAGTGCAATCCACAACACCTTCCTGCAAACAGCTGCGCACTTTGAGGCCGAGCTAAGGGGCCCTTGGACTATGTACGGATTATTTCTGAATGTTTATGAAGGGCTAATTTTGGAGTCACTCTTTGCTTCTGCTAGGTCCTGGCACCAGCTGCACAGGCAGCTGTGGTGGCTGCAAATGAAAAGGCTTCATGGCAGAAGAGTGATCTTGCTGGTGGGCTTTCTGCTCGAGATCCTTCAGCTACTGCATCTTGAGGTTCGAATCATGCAAGAGGACCCTCCAAAGCTAGTAGCTGTGATGAAGGTTGCATGTAGCCGTAGCCCTGTCAGAGGTACTGCTTGGGCTAAGGCCCGACAGTCCCTTAGAAGGTACGCCTTGAGGATAAGATGTGCCGATATGCCGTCTTGCTGGGAGGGCGCTACTCGCAAGCACTTTGGCCATGGATGCGCGCTCACTTCCCGCGCCGCTAGTAGTCTAGGTTGCTGTTGAGGAGCTTAAGCTAAGTTACCATAATAAGTAATAATATGGGTATACAGTAGATGATGGGGTTTCCTCATGATAGTAACTTAGTTGGAGTCCCTTAACAGCAACGCAGTAGTTCATCTAGCTCCCTGAAGCAGTCCTCAGGACAGGTCATAAGTCTACCCCTGACTCCCAAGAAGTGCATGTTTCCAAAAACCTGTGTCCCCCCTTCATACCCCCATGTATGGTGATCCTTATTGCGGGACTCCCTAAATGGCCCCTAGAAGGCGTGCTCAAACCCTGACATGTCTAATGCGGAGGCTGGGGTCACGGTGACGGCCGAGGGCGTTTCGCAGGACGAGGTGGGGGCAATACTCCATCATCTACATTTTCATGTTGATTTGGGTTAGGCCCGCACCCATTAATAGTGGTACTATATATCTTAATGATAGCTCGGTGGGGGCTCATCCCATGTGTTACTGTTGGTTCAGCACATCTTGCACCAGCAATGGCCACAAATTCCTTTGTTGCTAGGATCTGCATGGAATGGTCAAGGTGGATGGGGATTTCCCAGCAGAAGTTGTAGGGACATTCAAAACTCATACAGCTGCTTTGCATAGTGGATCGTCACGACATATGTGTCACCATTTGTTCAAGCTTTCGAGCAGGCGGCGCTACACACCATGAGAAGAGGTGACGTGGCAGGACCCAGATAGGAACACATCTAAGTTAGGACCAAGCTGCGATACTGTTCCGCCTAGCCTTAGTAATCACCATGCAGGATGGTAATTTGGCATTTTGCTTACTAAGCGCAAGGCTGCGTGCCTGGGCCGATGAAGGCTTCATCTCTTAGACTTGAATAACAGCCTGCAGACCCAACATTTTGAAGCTGAAGTCATTGCTGTTATAGGTGCTTGGGAAGTCGAGGTATGAGCGCATGACCACAGGGATTGAAACAATAACAGGGGTGACTGCAGTTATTCTTTCTAGGGCGTCTGCCGGGTTGATGTTTACTTCCTACTCTTGTTGCTAGCCAGGTCAAGGCATGGCCTTCGTTAAGTCAACCAGCAAACCAGTGAAACAAGGGTTTGGGGAAAAAGGAATACATCGACCAACAACCTTTCCTGGCAGCTGTGCGCAAACTCAGAGTAGCAGGGACGGCAAGTCTGATTCATTATAGCCATGTCAGAAAATCCCCTGATACTGAACTCACTCCAGACAAAGTCTATTCCGCGTTGTCAGATGCCTCCTGCCAAGCATCGGGGTTGACAGAAATGCACACTTCAAAGATCCCATCGAGGAGCATCACTTTCGAGCATCTCCAGTGAGAGCGGTGACCGGCAAGCCTGGAGTAGAGCCGTCTCAGGACGGCATGGGTTAGTATGGGATGAAGGAATGGACAAGAAAGTGAAAACCATGGCATTATACGGGACTATCGTTAGGGGCTACTTCAGGTGGGTTTCATTGCATGCGCCATCATTATACAGCGGCATGAGTGCTGCTTCTGGCCACTGTGATTGTTCCTGAAGCTGAACAAGAGGCCAATGAACTTGCACGAGGGCAATTCCAAGTTGCTCAGGAATACTCATGCCATATGAACTAGAGTCTAAATACTCCTTAAAGAAGCTCATAATTATAGGGGATTATTTAGGGGTTGTTAAGGGGGATACTAGGAGTTTAGACTATGGCTAATATCCCAGTCTTTGCCTGCGGAGATGTAGCAGGACAGTCGAACGTCTCACGGGGGCGTACATATAGGCACCCTAAAGTTTTTGCCCCACAGTCTTTCTGCACGGCTTTCATGAGGCGACTTCGGAATTCAGGTCCCGCCTACATACGGCTCAAAAGATTTGATGTCGGGATTGCGTATTAGGCTTTAGGGTTTGGGAGGATATCGTACCGATGAGAGCTTAGAATCAGGTAGAGTCTGCACTGCGGGAACGAACACAGCAGATGCCCGACAAAGAGTCCACTTGCCAACATTTTCAAGGGCGCAGCTCATGATCCTTTTTGATTTGCAAGCCTCGTGTTCACATTCGTGTCCATGTGAATAAACAATCCATCAAGCTACCATTTCGGGGAAGACCTCCTGTCAGGTCCACATATTCTGCTTTGGTGCTCCTAGGCCCTAGGCCTTTGCAGGGAAACAAAATCAGAAGTTATCTAGAGCATGTTCAGGATCCCAAGAAGAAGATCAACAGGTACAAAGAGCTGTGAGCAACCTCGTGACTTTAAGAGGAGATAAATGCATCAGAAGCTTTGCTGCAGGAGGGCCACCGGGAGAGCCAACGCTTCTAACGGCTCCTTTGCTTTGATTGGTATCATCTGGCCATCTGGTATTCCAAGAGCAGCGTCGAAAAACTGGGGGCCCCAGAGTTGGTTGTCCATAAGCGGGACCCCAAGGAAACGAAGCCCTCCTCTTGAAACAGAGCCACTGTTTGGATGATCGTTTGACTTAGTAAATCTACCTACTATCCCTAATAACCCCTATTATAAGCCCTATAACCCAAGATACTAAGTAGACTTACTAAGTCAAGAGATCCTCCAAGCTGGTTTGAAGCGCCTCACCGTCACACAAGAGTCTGCTGTTGTAGCTGAGCACGGCTTGCCATACTGAAAGATGAGTTGCCGCTCTCCCTGGTTTCTCAACCCAGGGGATGCACGACTGGTTGGGGCCGCGGCTGAACCTGCCGGCGGATCTGCGTCTCTATAAAGGCAAGGGGTGATAGTCATGGCGACAGGTGTTGTGCATGCTACGGAGCTCATGCTACTAGTAGCGGGTTTGTTTGTCAATGAGCTGTATTCTGTTGAGGAATGTCTGGGTTGATTGAAAGCATTCCAGCATCCGCACAGATATGTTTACAAGGACCGTCTGCGATACAGGACTGGCACTTAGCCATCATTGCAAAACTCGCAGCTTCGAAAACAGCTTCCTCCGTAGGAGTAGCGTAAAACGCAGCTTCGTGCAGTCGACCATGGCCGTCCCGGCGGAGCCCACATACACAACCATGCCGGCCTACACGACTGACCCTATGCCTGCCTACACAATCCAGTCGGAGGCTGGCGCACCCGCGCCTGTGGCCTACACAATTCAGTCAGAGGCTGGCGCGCCAGCGCCCGTGACGTATACGACTACTACGGCGGCACCCTACATCATGCCAGCAGGCTACACGACCTACATGCCTGCCAATGGGATTTCCCCTTACATGACTGCTATGCCAGCCGTCAGCAACTTGGACCACTCCCAGGGGAATTCGCACCGGGTGAGGCACTGCCTCCTGGCTATGTAATCACGGCCCACCCGAAAGGCCACGTGGCTCCACAGGAAACCCACAACATGAACTGGCAGCGCTGCCAAGTCTGCTCTCCCCAAGGCCTCTGTCCCTGAGAAGAAGACCAAGAAGGGCAAGAAGAAGAAGTCCAGCGGCTGCTGCTGAGATGGAAGATGTGATAGTAGGTGATGGCAACTTCAGACCTTCTCCTGGCCCGCAGAGGTGCTGGTTAGGGAAGCGGGTTTCCATGAGACCGTTGCGAATCTCACCT